GGTATTTGATTAAAGAACTACCAAAGTGATCAAAGTGACTAATTTATAGTTTCTGCTATAAATTTTATAAGTATAAAACAATGTATCTTATATTTACTTATCTGTGTATAATACGTTATATATAATGCTTGATTTTAATCTATAAATTACTGGTTTTATTATCATATAGTTAATATTTATCTATATGATAATAAAATATATGACACAAAATCATATAGTTAATATTTATCTTCATTAATCAATTATATGCTCTGTTATTCATATATCTATTAATATAGCTTCAACTGAAACTTCATTATAACAAAAGATACGATACGATTCAAGCGAGACGAATAGTTCCAGTATAAAAAAATGAAATGATAAATGAGGAAAATTAAACAAACATTAAATAAAATAAAATTGTATAATATCTGTGTCAAGCATCGATCTGAATTTATTACAATATTATAGTTGTATCTGCGAATAAATCGAATGAAATATTATAGGAATCATAATGGAATTACAAAGATCGCATGATAACGTGCCTAACTTGTTATATTTAAATTGCCTTTAGATTTAATCCGAGTAAATGATAAAATGATTCATGAAAAAAATGGGATCTTCCGGATTCATGAAATCTGATTTATTCGAACAACCAAGGACACAACGTAGCTGATACGATGATTTTACACGCGTATTCGTTATTAAGATAATCACGCGATAAGCTGCTATTATCGCAGTTTAATTGTCGCAATTAATAATGAATAATTTTTTTTTCTGTCAGAAAATCCTCTGTAAGAGTGAAGCTCTATTGACTAAAGTCCTTTGCACGTAACGGAGTTGAGTTATGATGAAGTATCATTGAATATATTCCAGACAATGTAGAAAAGAAATATTACAAATGACTGATAAAGTATTATACAAATATATTAATATATTAATATATATTAAAATAAGGTATTATCTTAATAGAAATATTATCTTTGTTATCTTTATTATATTTCTATTATAGAAATATTATCTATTAATATAATAATTAATATATCAATATATATTAAAATAAGGTATTATCTTAATAGAAATATCTTTATTACCTTTATTTCTATTATAGAAATATTATCTATTATTTAGATAATATTTCTATTATTTCTATATTTCTATTATAGAAATATTATCTTTATTATCATTATTATATTTCTATTATCTTAATAGAAATATGTATATTTTTTTTTATTATTTTTATGTTTTATTAGGCACATAATATATATGGCTAATATATATAACAAAGCATACACAATATTATATAATACATACATATGTATGTTATCAATACATACATACATATATACATATATGTTGTATACATTTTATGTGAATACATCTTGAAACGCGTAATAAAACTTAAAAAGCATAAAAAATACATAGAATTCTATTTAAGAAATACACGAAAATAATAACATGAGAATTCAATGTACCAATTGCCCGTAGCATTTCATGAATTTTTTCCTGTCTTTCTTCAATTCCAGAAACGAGTTCCCAGGATTAGAAGCGAGGGTGGAGAAATCGAAATGGTGGACGAGCAAGGATAATGACAAATACGACGCAGAGGAACTGAGGGAAGTCAGGTGGCTCGAGGACGCGATAAAGGCGTACGCGAAAGCGTTAGACACGCTGTGGTGAGCATGATTACCCGTTAATCATCCGTTTCCCATGAAAAATTGCAACATGCACATTACTAGCTAGATTACAAAAATTCTCAACCGCGTCAATTGAAAATAAAAAAAAAATATTGGCTGCTTGTGATTCATTGATTTGTTGAACAATTATGATTATATTAACTTTATGATTATATTGTTTGCATCTGACAGATTGTTTATTAATAATTGATGTTGCGAGATGATAATTAAAGTTGTCGGACAATTATTTAAGAATAGATGTTACTTAGGATTTTTATAATGGCAAATATTCCTAACACAATTATTATACAAGTTAATAATAAAGAAAAATGATCTGCTGCATCGATTATCTACAGAAATTAATGGAATTCAATTCGACTAATAGATCTTGAAATTAAATACTGCTGTCGTATATTAAATTAAATTTCTTTCAGTTTGATAGATATTTAACGAAAGATGATGCCAGATTATAACCTAACTTCCTCGATTAATTTTATAACAGTGACCTTACCTAATTTTTCTTAAATTCTAACCTAACCTTTTCTTAAGATTCTTGATACGAAAAAGTGGCATTAAATTTTTCTTTTAGATTCACTTTAGCTTTATTAAACTATATTTTTAATCGCGAGACATATTACAGTGTATGTAGAAATCATTCTGGCCTGAAACAGGTATGCAAGTGTCCCATAACGTTCGGAGCCAAATCGAAGTGTCAGAGTTTACGCTTACCTATAATTTCGTAAATCTGTAATTTCCTAGTAAGGATGGAATGCAAATTAGCATGATATTAACATCAATTTAATATACTTAAAACGCCGTTTTGTCACGTAACTCATCAAAGCTGTACTTTTTCCGTCCATTATTTCTCATTTTCCTGCGAAAAATTCGTTCGTGTGTATAAAAAAAAAAGTTCACTCGCTATGGGACAACGTATGATTAGATGAAGTAGGAAACAGGATAATGATACAGTCTGATTGAATCAGGTGTTAGTCAGCGGTATCTGAACGACGTGCGACGTGATGGAAATTTCTCATTCTTTGTACAGAGGTCTATCTATCGACGTCTAATTACACGTAATTACAATAAATGCGTTATGTTAGGTTCTTGCTATTCAAGAAAAAGCTGGCTATATGGGAACGGGAATTTTGTATGAATACAAAGTCAGAATGTTTCGTGTGATTGACCGAGTTTCAAGCGTTGAGTACGCAACCTGATATAGTATTCAGATCTGTTTAACCTGCTGACGTTCTTTCGATCATTTTCGAGAGTTAAAAAATATCTCGAGTTTGAGAATTTTTTTGTTTCACGTAAGTTCAACGAAGAAGAAGTTCTTGCCAGTGTGTATAACTTCTCGATTAAATTTTACATTAAACACCTTCGTAGGACATTGTAACTCCTCTTGGAAATATTGAAATGTAAATATTGAAATTACTTTCTTTGGAATATTGAAATATAAATATTGAGATTAAAACTTAATTAAGTTATAAGATTAAATTTCTATTGTATTTGACTGGACGATTAGTGTCGAACTTCTGATAAGAAAACAAATAAGTTTTGTACCTTTATTTATACATCAAAGTTCGCGATGCTTTAAATTAGTTTTCTATTCTTTTAATTTATAGAACTGAACGATATAGTTTTTGAATGGATTGTTTAATTATTAAATTCTTCGAATTGGTTTCGTTTAATCATCAGATTTTAGAAGCTCAGATTGATGGAATGTAAAACAATAACTCGTTGTTAATTAATTTTTATCTCTATTAATATATAAAATAGACAATTTCAGTTACTCACAGATCGCTCGCATCAATCAGACTTCCAGGTTCCTAATCTGAAACAGAAAAGAATTTCTCATTCAATTTACAAATGATATACGTATGTGCTATGTAAAACT